GTTCTCCCTTCTGCCTTACTTCAGGGCAGATTTGAGGGTAAACCATACACAGCACGGGTTTGCCCCTGTGGCTCGTTGGAAGTTCAAACTGCTTCACATGTACTATTACGTTGTCGTCTTTATGAGGATATACGTTTGACTTTTATTACACCTGTTTTGCAAAAGTCCAGGAAAGAATCGGAACACCATAGTTTAAAACTACTGCTAGAGGACAAGAATCCCAAGACTACATTAAATGTAGCCAAATTCTGTGCGTCTGCAATTAATCGCAGGAAGCAAGTGGTATCCCATAATGACCAAACCCCACAAAGTTAATTACAGGGGGCACGCTAATAATTAATTTTAATTTTTTATATTTAAATCCTTGTTATACTCATATTGTCCTCTGTATTTCTGATATATATTTTTTTTAATGATCTGTGTTATTGTGTGTGTTGACGCTGGTCTGTGACCATATTAATAAATTCATTCATTCAAAGTCCTATTGCTGGATTCAAAAGGCTGCAATTTCCAGCTGTCAGATCCAAGCAATTATTTTAATAGCAAAGATTTTATTTTATCGTACAGTGGTACCTCGGGTTACATACGCTTCAGGTTACAGACTCCGCTAACCCAGAAATATTACCTCGGGTTAAGAACTTTGCTTCAGGATGAGAACAGAAATCATGCACGGCAGCAGCGGCAGGCCCCATTAGCTAAAGTGGTACCTCAGGTTAAGAACAGTTTCAGGTTAAGAACGGACCTCTGGAACAAATTAAGTACTTAACCCGAGGTACCACTGTATTCCCTCATATCAGGGAGGGGCTTGGGTAGACATCTAATCCCAGCTAATCTAAGGACTCAACATTGGAGACCATGTTTTAATCTTTTAAAAAAGAATGCACAATACTTCAGCTTTTTCAGTTTACAGTTCTGCATAGTTCTGGGCCACATTCAGCTAACCTGGTGGAAGCCAGTGCATGACTCCTGCTAGCACAACAGGGGACTCCTTCCCTCATGCACCTCCTCCAAGTCTGCTCTAGAGGGTTGGGAGAAGCCCCAGAACATTGTTGGGTGCCGGGAGAAGAGAGATTGTTCCATCTGGCAAGCAGATATGCTGATGGAAGGACCACATTATTGAATTCCACCGTCTTGTTTCTGCAGTTAAGTTTTCTCCATAGTACTTGCCAAGAAACCCACTACAGAGAAAAACCCCTGAGCAAACTTCCCCAAGCTTTTTGTTGCTGTTGTTGTTTAGCCATGTTCTGTCAATGTTTTTAACTACAACTCCCATCACTCTGAACCACACTAGCTGGGATTGATAAAAGTCCATAATCAAAAACATCTAGAGGGCAACAAGCTGGGGAAGGCTGTCCTAGGCTTCTCCAACCCACATGTGCCCTCAGTTATGTATTTGTTTATGCAGCACAATTCATATAACACTTAATCAAAGAATATATTCCTCTAGGCAGTTTATGTGGAATGGTATAAAATATGCATTTGAATCAGCAATAAAAGGAATATATAAAAACAGTAGACCTAATACAGTTATCAAAACAGAGATAAAACCAACAGATCTATAAAATAAATGTGCGTTGGCCCACTTTAATAACTGCCTGGGAGCACAAGGGTAAAAAATGGAGGGGAGATAACAAATCAAGGTACCGTTCTCCCTATAAACGAATGCAGCATTCACCGAACAACCCTCAGAGTGTTCTGAAAACCATGAGAAAAGAATGGTGCATTTTGCTAATCCTTCCCACGGTTCTCTGCCTCCGAATCAGAGAGGAGAAATTACTATATCAAGTGTAGATAATTGCATTTTACCTCGCCCTGTTTAGAAATTGCCTTGCTATGTTGACATCGGCACCCTGGGAGAACAACCACACTTCAGTGAACTTGCGCTAGATTTGGTTCTCGTTGTCAGCTCTGCCTGAATCTACTTACCTGCGGTAAATGTAACATCCAACAGAACTGAAATTGCAGGGTCAAAGAAGGGACTTCTCAGCTCACTGGCCTAAATGGACTAAACATCGGTGAGCCTTAGGGAAAGGTTGCAGAAAGACTAGCTGTGAAACTAGACCGTACTTTGACTGTCACTTAAGACTAGATGTATGCAAAAATTGCATGTACCGCTATGCATGTTTTCTTCATATGTGTGCATTCCTGTATTGAACACCCAGAAACAGCACATCTGGGCGCAATGTTGTATTCTGAACCATAAATGTTGTGAGGTAGCATGTTCTGTTGTGTGTACCACTCCAGTGTCCTTGTTTTTTACAGATACGATTGGACTGCATTTCATGTTTGGCGATACTCCATTATGTCCCCTCTGTACTTTATCAGTTTGCAGCAGAAAGGTGGGGAAACTGAAGCAAATTCGTGGACTACATTGTGGATGGTGGATCTGGAGAATCAGAGGGGGAATGGATCCAGCCCTCCATCACGCATTTCCTTCTGAAGCCCAGCCATGAGTGTGGGACATGGTCCAAATGAAAGCATTCATCAAAGGCTGTACGCCACAACACACACAATGGTAACAAACAAATTGGAATCAGAAAAAACAGCAGCAGCATAGTGATTCAGTAACCAAGACTGATGACACAGTTTGGTGTGTTAGCAGGACTGATTTTGATTTCTGCACACTAAAACCACATAAAATACAGAGAAGCAATATTCTCTTTCTTTGCAGTTAACACTCTATAGTGCCACACACAGAGAGAGAGGAGACACACAGCAACAACAAAATAATTAACTAACTAATAATTAAACTTGTGAATTTTTGCAGATATTTAAAGAATTCATCTATAAAAGGTTCGTGCCAATTGCAGAATTGAATGTGGATTTCAAAAGAGGAACAGGACTCTCATCTACAGTCCTAGAAATATGTCCTATTTTACTTACTTCTTGTTTCTATACTGGCTTTCAGCACAGCTTCCAAAGTGGTTTGCAAAACAAGATAAAATATAAACGCAGAAAGATGTTTGTAGTTTAGGGTGCTAGTCTGACCATGTCTACGCAAAAATAAGACTCACTAAATTTAATGGGACGTACTCCCAGGTGGGGTTCAGATTACAAAATTCACTGGGAAGACAGATTGACCGTTAAGCCACTTTTTTAGAATAATTTTTTATTAAAAGTTTCCAACATAAGAGAGATGAGACCCAAAAGAAAAAGGAAAAGAGCAAAAACTAAAATTACCAAGCCCTCTATCGCAATTATATATTTGCCTTTTATTTATTTTCATTTTATCTTCATTAATCCAATATCGTAGGCTTCGAAAAACAAAGCCACTCTTGAGAATAGTAGTTCTGCAAGGAGAGTCTTCTGACAGCTCTCAGCACCCTTAAGAAGCTGCAGTTCCCAGGGCTTTTTTGGGGAAGCCATGACTGGTTAAAGTGGTATGATAATGCTTTCAATGTGTAGTGCAGATGGGCCCAATAGTCTGACCTGGTATATGGCAGCTTTCTATGGGATTCCCCAGCCACCAAGCTTCCTTCATTAATGTCAGGAGAGGGATCTGCACTGCCTCTGCAATGGTATCAAAGGACACTAAAAAAAAATCCTGGACTGTGCATTACGGAAGCTCTAGTTTAAAATGTTCATGCAGTAACAGGCCAGAAAGCCTACAGTCGCAAAACCAATAGCAAATGGCAAGCAACTCAGAAAAAGTTTTCATTGTTTTTGTCTGCACAATATAATTTATGTAACTTTTTAGAAGTTGTAATTCAGAAGAGATTGCTTGCGGTACAGCGTTGTATCTGGACAGGATAAACTCAACACTGCACTATGATAACACAAAGTTGCTCAGCCGTGTAAATGGCAATAATGTAATATCACTCCCTGCCTTTAAAGCAATATTCCCAAACAAATAAACTTGGCTCTTATCTGATGAGAATTCATTCATGCAAGTGTCTGTTTGTTTTAAATGAGGTCAGCTAGTGATAACATTTCCTTTAGAGTTACCGTCTTAATTCCCAATGCATAACCCAGGTTGTAATGTTGATTTTCTGCTCTGATGTTTATACTGATCAAATTAAAACCCTGGATACATGTGGCTGAAAACACAAGTATCTGCATCCACACTTCATCTAGATTTGATAGTTATCTTCACTGCAGAATTCCTTTACAGGTGCTTGAGATGGGAGGATTAAAAAAACAAGGCCAGCACTGCTTATGTTCCTATGCATTCGCAAGTATCTTTCACCAAAATTCAGGAGCTACCGATTTTTCTTGCTCACTTTCAAACCCAGGTGAGACCTAGACATAGCTAGAAGTTTGAAACAGGAAAGAGCAAACTCATTCCAAATCATCTTGGATAGTGTGAAAATAAATCCAAGCTATTTATTTCTATTTCTTTTTTAAAAAGTCAAGAAATACTTTATATCTCACAATCTTCTTCAAGGAGCTCCGAGCGGCTTACCTGATTTTCACTCCCTTCCCATTTAATCCTCACAACAATCCTGAGAGGTAGGTCAGGCTAAGAGGCAGTGGTGACTGGTTAAGCTTCAAGCCCGAGTTGGGATTTGAACCCTGCTCTCTCCCAGGTCCTTGTCTTACACTCTGTTATGTACTGAAGTTCTCACCCTGGGCCAGCAGGGGGATACTGTAGATAGTTTTCACTCAGGTCCACATATGCAAATAAGGGATTGAAAGTGACGTTCAGGGATTGGATAGTTACAGAAAGTTGTTACAGTTGCGTTGTAGTGGAGCTCTATATAAGCAGGCTGGCTGAACCCTTCAGTTCTGTTCAGTTCTGGCCTGTGAATAAACAAGAGCTGTTTGAAGAATCGCTGTGTTGTCTGATATGTTCACCCACAACTTAACACTAACCACTATGCAACACTGGTTCTACGACCCAATCAGAATTCAACTTGAAGCTACCCATGTGGCTGGAATGTTTTCGTTTGGCTGGAATGTGTCATTGAACTCCGATTTTGACTCTTGCATGCCAAGATGCAGGACAGAGAGGACTGTGTGCAGAAAAAAGCTAGCCTACTGTAGAAATGTCATTTTTACAGTGGTTGCTCCATTCATTTTGCTTCTGGTCTCACTCACCACTGGCCCTCAAAAGGTTATCTAGCAAGGAAAGTGGCCCTTGGCTGAATAAGGTTCCCTAACCCGTCTTTTGGCAAGGTAGTTCGTTCTTTCAGTGCTGTGCATTTCCTCTCTCTAGATCTGTCATGCTGTTCTCCAAAAGAAGGAATGAATGACAATCCTTCCACCCACTACAAAAGTGGAAATACCATTATCAGAGGATAAAGGCACCAGTACTCCAAGTTACACCATTCTGCATGGAGAGTGTTTTCCTTTGTGAAGAGTTGAGTGTTCTCGTCCCGGGTAGTTAAAGTTAACATACAATTTACAGAAATAATATGGCTCCATTGCAGAAACTGCTTCTCATTATTGGGCTGACAATGAAATGTTTTCAGCAAAATCACCAAAGCAAATGCAAGGATTCCTGCTAGAGCAAAAAAATAAAATAAAAATTTCCCACTCTCCACCACCCATCTGTGCCATCCCCACATTTGTTCTGGAGGGTTGGAGAAACCCCCAGAAAGTATTTAGGGAGTGTTATGTACTGAAGTTCTCACCCTGGGCCAGCAGGGGGATACTGTAGATAGTTTTCACTCAGGTCCACATATGCAAATAAGGGATTGAAAGTGACGTTCAGTGATTGGATAGTTACAGAAAGTTGTTACAGTTGCATTGTACTGGAGTTCTATATAAGCAGGCTGCCTGAACCCTTCAGTTCAGTTCAGTTCTGGCCTGTGAATAAACAAGAGCTGTTTGAAGAATCGCTGTGTCGTCTGATATGTTCACCCACAACTTAACAGAGGGGGATGCAGGGGAGGAGAGAGGAAAGCTTATGTCACACAATGAAAACTCTTATACTGGGGAAACCTTAACTGGCTTACTGGGGAAACTGTATTGAACAAGTGCCTCTCAGCATGTGAAGTATTTTTGCTTCACTAATGAGTAATGAATCTGCCTGTGCACCAAATATCTGAGATAAAGGGGAAGGCCCAAATGTTTTATCTTTCAGAATGATTAACCTGCTGGCAAATATGTAGCCAAAACAGATTAAAATGGGCATGGGGCCTGCTTATAAAATGATTTACCTTTAATTAATGTGGAGGACCATGGCTTCATTTTACAAGCTTCATGCCCTATTAAATATCTTAACTGAGTCTGATCTCCAAATGGACATCAGCATCACCTAGAAAATGGATTAATATCTTTAGCTTCTGCCTGCTATTAGCTTAATTCCAGAAATATTCAGTTTTAAGAAATTAGTACAAATCAGTGAGGTGTTATACTAAGGAATTTCATTTCTCTCTGAACTTAAAGAAGGATGGAAAACTTTCCAATAAAAGTGAACAGATTACATGAGGTTGTAATGGGAACAGACGGACATTCAGATCGCAGTTTGCTAAGGCAGACATAGTGGCTCCAGGACTCACTAACTAAGACTGTGCCTCTGTGAAGAGTCAGATAGCTGCTATGAGCACTCTGTGTATGCTCTTTAACTATGCTGTTTATGAACTACTTTATTTCCTCAAGTAAAAGTTTTATTCTGTTTATGAAGACGACTCTGTGCTGATTAATTTACGGCTGCGCAACATAGTGTTGCTCCTAACAGCTAACCTTGCAACACCTTTTATCAAAATTGCAGCATCTTTTGTCGCAGGTTCTCAGTGCAGCTACCCAAGTCATAAAAGAATTGTGTCTGAAGTGGGCTTCTGCCTGCAAATCCTTCCCTGCTGCATTTCAAACCATCTACTTACGAAAAGGAAAGAACAGTTATAAAAGAGTTGGACAACTTGTTAAAAGTTTTTGATCTTAACTAGGCCAAATACAAACAAAATTCTAGTTTCCAGAAGCAGCAGAACATCACTGTTTAGATCCTGATTTTCTCAAATAAGTAGAACAACTTACAAAAAAAAAAAGAACATATAGAAAAGGTAATATGTTAAATCATGAACAAGAACTCTAAAAAGCAATAGTAACACTAACACATTCTTGTAGTAAGTATATCCAAGTTTCAATTTGTCAACAAGTGATATTCCAACTTCACATAAAAAGAAGCGGCAATTTTCGTGGATTCAACACCAAGATGATTTTTGTGGCTGAAGTGCGTATTTTTAATTTTTATGCCCATCCTCCAGCACCCCTGGCTGAAGAAGAACATCATCCATGAAACCACTGACAGTGTAAACAAATACAAATGAGGAGTTAAGGGATTAGCATCCCATGATGCAGAATAGCACAAATTGTGCCCAAAGCAGAGCTGAGATTTGGAGGTTTCTGTTTGGATAAAGCTCCTTTGGAGAAGCAGCCACTGAGGAGAGAGATAAGCAATTATAAACAATGGGCCAGACAAAAGCTCCTCCTTCTCTGGGCTTAACTATGATCCTCTCTGGATTTCTCTTCCTTTCAGCAAAGAACCTTCAAGAATTGACAGCTGTTGGAGTTGTGCTGCTCTCACCTTTTGCTGAGGGTAGGTTTGCGTGTGTGAGAGGGAGAGAGAAAGCAGAAGGAAATATAAAAGTTTAAATATGACTAGCAACTTTTCTCTGAAAGGTTCTCTACACCTCAGTTTACACCCTTAATTTGGCCTTGCCCTACTATATTATGATGTGGCACCCCAACTTCTGAGGGGTGAGAGGATTCAGGGGTTCCAGAACATACTTTGGGGTTGGTTTCCATAGAATGAAGGTCACTGGAGATGACAGTGTCTTTGTGATATATGGGGTTGTTTTTTGTATATGCAGGCAGAGCATAAGATGGCAAGGATCACAGGATTTACACTCTGACAGATCTGGCTCCATCATTATGTTTTGCTGGGGCAGGGAGGACAAATCCATAGATTTGGTTTCCACAAGCCAGGCCTCTGTCTCTTCTCAGCTCCAAATGAGACAAGTCAAGTCTGCTCCCTTGCCTATCTTTCTCCTGCAAATGAGATTACATCAACTCCAGCCAGGACAGCAGCAGAGAGGTCTCTCCCCTTCTTCTGCAAACCCCAGTAACTAATTGTTTCTATGGCAACACACCTGTCCTTGGCCAACTGTTTTGTCTTGTGAAGAGATGCTTGCCATCACAGGCGCACTATGCCTACAGAACAGTGAAGGGCAAACCATAGGAATAAACACAGGGCATTTGTTGTGGGTTGAAATAAGCCACAGATACAAGTAGGTTTGGTCCAAGGCGTTGGCATGGATCCGGTATCAAGCAGCCTGCCTGCTGGTTGATGAATAGTCCGGGGTCGATGCAGAGCTGGGGCATCACCCCTGACATGGGCAAGGTGCCACGATCCTGCTCAGGCCACCATTTGGAGAGGTGCTATGGCCCATTGGCCCCTGGGTGGGCTCCTGAACATAGACACCCCTCTTGCACCGCTTTAGTGGGGTGTCCAGTCAGCTAAGGATCCATCCCAATGCCTTATCTGCCCAAGTTGTGCCTGTTGCTATGAGGTAGGCGAAAACCCACAGACCAACCAATTCATCTGAAGGAGAAAATTCCTCCCTAGCCCCAAATACAGTGACCATATACATATAAACCATAGCAAGTTCCTCACTAACCGGCTGGATGGGTAAGTGGTGAATCCTGCAACGATCCTCCCCAGGGAGCAAACCATCCTCAGTTGCCTTGTTTACACCAGGGATGAGCCTGGTTCAGTCCCCTGATTGGCCCATTCAACGTGTCTTCCCAGCAGTGTGGCCAGAGGGGGAGGCACTAGGCATATCCCACAAGACTGGAGGTCATGCTGTGTGGAAAACACCACTCCCCAGGAGCTGTTGTGGTGATCACACAGGGTCCCCGGACGTTTCACTGTCTATTGATCCCTGTGCCACCACGTTATTTCTCGCTGCCACCACCCAGGCCCTACCTGGTATAATACTAAGTCCAGTCAGGGTTAAATTGGAACATAAACTTCTGCTTAGTTATTGCAGTTTAACAAGTGTGTGGTTTCATAAACAGTATCGGTCAATTACATTCATGGGGTGCCTATCCAGACCTATAACTTCCGCTACCTACTCTCCCTCACTAAACCACCTCTCAGATATTTACTTGTCTTCCTAGCCCCTAACTGTTCCTGACTCAGCTTATTTCGCTATTTTGCTCAACCCACCCACACTATCCCAATTCACTCCCACTCCAACCAACCTCCCAATGAACTCACCCCTCCCAGAACTGGTTTTATAGTCCCTCTGACTCCACCCCCCTGGGTTCTGATTGGGTAACCTGTTTAACTATTTCACCTCCAGCACTCTCATATGTTAACGTCACAGCCGTAGGTGAGAGGAGATTAATAGACTTGGCTAGGGCTATTAGCGTAACAAAGGAGACTGGTAATAAATCAGGGGCTTCTAGGGGACCCATGGATGACATCCAAACTAATCCCCCAGTTCTATAAAAGTATGCTTTTTTGAAACAGCAATGCAGGCCTAAACTTCAGCCGCAATCCAGAAATGCTCCAAGCAATACTCCAATGATGCTTCCAGGCACCTCTTACGAGTTGGTGGCTTGATTCAACAATATCCATCTCAAGCCACAACTCCCCTTTACAACTCAGTCAACACAACTGGGAAAAGGGAGGCACCCAGCCTACAGTAAAGGACTGTTGATAGAAAATTAAATCTTTATTATAAATTCTTTACTTCATTATAGTTCCAATCATCCAAGACACCTTCGAGATAACCTCCCGTTTGGTCAATTTCCACGGCTCAAAAGAAATTCTTTTAATTTGAAGAATTTTGAGTATCATTCTGACAAGTTAGTAACCTCACTTATAGAACGCGGTTACCCACCTATGGTGGTGTCCGCAGCCATACAGAGAACCAAAACTAAAGACAGATCCACACTTTAAAAAACCCGGACTGACACTCATGAGATCACCAAGAGAATCCGTTCTTCCTTAGAATTTAATCACATAACGAAAGACATTGAGAGAACAGTGAAACGCCACTGGCATATCTTAAAAGATATTCCTGGTTGCGAGGTCCCTCCAGGAAACGACACACGAGATCCCTTCGAGATATACTGGTACACACTGATCTAAAACCCATACCACAACAACAGACCTTAATAACAGCCCCAAGAGGTTTTTTCTAGTGCGGACACTGCGTGGCATGCAGATACGCACTTCCAGTAAAAGAGTTTACCAACAGTGAGGGTTTCAAATTCACCATACGATCATTTGCTACATATGCTGTCTATGTAATAAAATGAACATGTGGTTTATTATATGTGGGACAAACCACATGACCAATCAGGACCAGGATATCTGAACATCATTCTAGGATCAGAAATAGAATTTTGGATGCTCCTCTGGTATCCCATTTCATCCAAAAATCTCACACTGAGGATGCCCTCACATTTTTTGTACTTTGGACCTATCAAGGACCTCTTGAACATGCAGGAAGAGTCCTTACACAGAAGGAAAGCAGGTTTATTTTCTTACTCAACATTCTTCATCCTTTAGGTCTAAATACTGAATTGGCTTATACCT